GGACTGGGTCGAAAGATGATCCTTCTGGAGATTTGCGGCCCTCTCGCTTGTCTGGCAGCAAAGTTCCCCAGACCTCACAAGCTGCCACGATTGACAGTGACGAGTTGGCGGACACACATACTGGGAGCTCGGAGGAACTCAACCAAAAGGACGTCCATTCCCGGAACAGTTTAGATGGTAGTGTTGATCTTGACCCCTTGGTGGTCGATAGGTATCCTGAACTGTCAAAATTCGAGCACGGCTCGTATAAAACAGGCCATTCCCGGCTTCATAGCTATGGTGCGGACTTTGCTGCTACTTTTCAGTCTCTACCTCCGGGTTCTAGTCTGATTAGCCGGCCCACGTTAGCGTCTAGTGCAAGCAGTTTACAAAGAAGCAATTCATTCATTGCTTCGGCTGCAGACATGCCGCCGCCATCTGATAAATTGAAAGGCCTCATTCTAGACTCGCTCCCCGCCCAAGTATTCGTTGCGTTGCCACAGACGGGCGAGATCGTCTGGGTAAACAGCCGTTACCTCTCATACCGAGGACAGACAGTGGCAGATTTGTCTGCGGATCCCTGGGGCAGCATTCACCCAGATGAACGCGATGAGTATCTTGCTGCTTGGAGTCGCTCACTACGGACTGGAGAGCAATTCTCCAGCACTGTGAGAATCAAGAGATTCGATGGCGTCTACCGGTGGTTCTACGCTCGTGCTGTGGCTTCCAAGGACAAGCGAGGAGCCGTTGTGCAATTTCTAGGATCTTACTTGGATATCCATGAGCAGCGTATCGCTGAGATAAAAGCGGCGCGCCAGCAGGAGGTCGAGGCCTCAGAAGCGAAGCATCGCCTGTTGGCAAATCTGATACCCCAGATCATTTTCACTGCTACAGAGGAGGATGGCGTGACTTTTGCAAACGAACAATGGCTGTCTTATACTGGCCAGAGTTTTGAAGATGCACTGCGCCTGGGCTTCATGGATTTTGTTCACCCAGAAGACTTGGCTAGATGCCGCATTCCCTCGTCACAGTCAGTGCAGCCATCTAATCGAAAGGGTAACGGCGGCAGCTACGGATCAAGTGACAACACACCTACAGGTGCGGCAAAGGAACGGCCAAAAGAGCCTCAAAGCCATGAACGCGCACCTAGCCAGCAAATCAATCCCAATAAAGAGAGAGGCTATCAGCTTGCCAATTCTGACCTGGCAGAATTGGCTAGAAAAGGCGTCATCAAGCTCGGAACTGACTCGAACGGCCGGCCATCATACACAACAGAAGTCCGATTGCGCTCCAAAACAGGAGAGTATCGGTGGCATCTTATTCGTTGTGTTGAGATCGATACCATCGATTTTGGTAGCGGTGCAAGCTCTTACTTTGGCTCTGCCACCGATATCAATGATCACAAGCTCCTTGAGGCGAAGCTGAAAGAGGCGATGGAATCAAAAGGCCGATTTTTGAGTAACATGTCTCATGAGATTCGCACTCCACTTATCGGAATATCGGGCATGGTGAGTTTCTTACAGGAAACGACACTCAATGAAGAGCAGCGCGACTACACCAATACCATCCAGACGAGTGCAAACAGCTTGATTATGATTATCAACGACATTCTGGATTTGTCCAAGGTGGATGCGGGAATGATGAAGCTGCGGTACGAATGGTTCCACACTCGTTCGCTCATCGAGGATGTAAATGAACTAGTCTCAACCATGGCCATTGCGAAGCGACTTGAGCTCAACTACCTTGTTGATGCAAATGTCCCAGCGTGGGTAAAGGGAGACAAAGTTCGAATCCGCCAGGTTTTGCTAAATGTCATTGGAAACGCTATCAAATTCACATCGGAAGGCGAAGTTTTCAGCCGATGCAAGGTATATGCTGGTGATGATGGAACGGCGGGACAAAACGAAATCATGCTCGAATTCATTATAACCGATACCGGTCGTGGCTTTTCAGAGGAGGAGAAGGCTCTCATATTCAAGCCTTTTAGTCAGATCGACGAGAGCAGTACCAGACAGCACGGTGGCAGTGGACTTGGCCTAGTTATCTCGAGGCAGCTTGTTGAGCTTCACGGAGGCAAGATGGAGGGAACGGCCATCATGGGCAAGGGTTCAACTTTCACATTCACAACTCGTTGCTCGCTACCTACAATTGAAGATCAGCCACCAGTGCCCAGCAGCCCCGGCTCAACAGCGACTGCTGTACCTTCGGCAGCAGCAGCAGATGAAACTGAACGGCCTAGCGATCCCACGAACGCTTTTATTCCGACCCAGCACACGCATGGCGGAGATGAGACCGGCCTTGCGAATGTGGAATTCGTATCCCCTGGAGGCGACTCAACTGGGAGCTCCAGCCAGTCTGCCCACTCTGGCCAATCGCTCATTACGGATAGGTCGTCAATAACGTCGATGAACACGGGACTGGCTCGTTTTAGCGAGGCTGCTAAAGCCAGCGGCCAAGACCTGTCGCAAATGAAGCTTGAGATGCCATCCGATCGCGGCTCAGTAGCACGAAGCGTGACGCCAGAGAAGCTTCCATCTGAGGCGTTCCGCCCGCCAATGTATCTGATACTGATTATTTGCCCCCAGACACACAGTCGCGAGGCTACTACGCAGCACATTGAGATGACCCTACCAAAAGATGTGCCTCATCAAATAACTGCTGTCGGCAGCGTCGAAGAGGCCGAGAAGTTTATCGGAGGCGACGATCCAATCCGGTTCACTCATATTGTCATCAATCTAGGCGAGGCGGAGGCAGTCATTAGTGTCATGGATCAAATTACCAAATCTCAAAAGATGGACAGCACAATGATTTTGATCCTCTCGGACTCTGTTCAGCGCCAGGCTGTAATGAGATACGCGTCTGGAACCAAATATGAGAAACTCTTTTCGGACAAGCTGGTCAACTTCATCTATAAGCCTGTCAAACCGTCACGCTTTGCTGTCATCTTTGATCCAGACAAGATACGGGATTTGAGCACGGACTGGAATAGATCTACCGCGCAGCAGATGCTAGAGAGCCAAAAAGCTAGCTCCATGGATCTTCAAAGGCGTATGGGCAACAAGGGCTACAGAGTTCTCCTGGTGGAAGATAATCCAGTCAATCAGAAGGTGATGATGAAATTCCTCAAGAAAGTTGGCCTCGATGTGGACATTGCTGTGGACGGAGAGGAGTGTATAGAGCGAGTTTTATCGAGACCGCATAGCTATTACTCTCTCATACTGGTAAGTTTGATGAAGTCTTTACAATTCTTAGTCTTTGGCTAACATATGACGCAGTGTGATCTGCATATGCCACGCAAAGATGGCTACCAGGCCTGCCGCGAACTTCGCGAGTGGGAACTGTTGGGTAATTACCCCGCGATGCCCATCATTGCCCTTTCTGCAAACGTCATGTCGGACGTCCAAGAGAAGTGCGTTGCGGCTGGATTCAGTGACTACGTGACGAAGCCTGTGGACTTTATTGATCTCAGCAGAGCTATGGCGCGGTTTTTCTGATCATAACAGCTTGCCCCTGGGTTACTTTAATTTTTTCCCTCCTGCTTCTTTTATATTTGGCCCACCTCTTGACTTCATTCTGTCAAGGGACCTTTTCTTTCTTTTTATCGACAGTGATTGGTGGCTTTTTAGAGGGTGTACTGGCGAAACGTTTCACTTTTTGACCCCTAGCTTTTCTTCTGTTTTTTTTTTTTTTTTTTTTTTTTTTCAACTTTCTTATTTTCTTCTCTGGCTCTTCATAATTAGGCTGGATGGAACCGAAGAGCCAGGCAATTTTGTGATACCACATTATACAGCAAGCACCACCATGCCCTGGGGATTCTTCTAACATTTTTTGCCGAAACAATTTCCACGGTACTCACGAGGTCGAGATGGCAAGACGGAAAGGGGGGTTATGTTACACTGCTCGGTATTTTGTTTTCACTTGTTTTCTTTTTAGCTCTTTTTTCTTCACTCTGTTCTTAGCGCTGGGCCTCAGAATGGCAAGACAGAGGTAAAGAAAGGGGGGGGGGGGGGCATTTTTTAAGGGCAAAGGCTAGGCAAAGACAAAGGCATAGGTTTACATAAAGGACTTAGGAATGGATGGAGCTTGTTTTTTTTTATATATTCGAGGCAAGCGAGGCATGTAGGGTCGCAGCGATAACTCTCGCGTGCAAAAATGGCTGCGTGTTACTTTTTTTTTGTTTTTGTTTTTGGATGTCTTCTTCACTAACTCTGTTGATATTGTGGGACTTATTCTAGCCTCGATCCCCAAATTCTCTTTTTTACCTCCCGTTTATGTTACTTTTCTCCTTTTTCATCTTTCTTCTTTTTGGCCTTGTTGGCGTGTGTGTTGTGTGGTGTTGCTCGATTTGGGCTCGTGTTTCTAGATGTTAAGCTAATCTAATGATTGTGGTCAGTTTTGCTTCATTTTGGAAAGAAGTAGAGGGAGGGAATAAGGGCAGTATTCTTTTATTTCTCTTCAATTCTTATTGTGACGGATTTTGGGTTGGCTTGGGAAAGGGATGGGTGAACAGATGGGACGGGTCACGGAGGAATATACAAAATGAAAGAAAGGGGGGGGATGGATTGAAATCGAAGGGATGATTGCTCGAATGGCCTGAAATTCTTTGCGAGTTTAACATGTTTTTTCTTCTTTTCTGGCACGCTTATATAGAATAAATACCTGGTGGAGTAGGAGGGATAGTAACAAGAGTCTTTTTAGCAAAAGTTTTAGCTGAGCCTCGAATACAGAAAGAAGTCATTGTTTAGCAATATTGAGGATCAATAAGTAATCGGCATCATCTAGTCACATTCAAAGAGCTATACGTGGGAACAAGATGCTCAAAAAGTCATCGAAATTGAATATAATATTTCATAAAACAATCCACCTCAGTAAAACCCGACGCTTTTATTTTCATTGATACAGCCAGGAAATCCAGTCTATATAGTGGTATCCAACAAAAAGAAAGAAAGAAAACAAGGTTGATATCGCTTCGTCTGTTGCGCTTATTCAAAGAAGTTGTCCCAGTTCCACCTTTTACTTTTTTAATAGACGCTTCCTCTGATGCTTCTATCCTCCTTCTCAGCCTCGTCTAAATCCTCCAACTTGGGGTCCGCGGCAGTATTGTGTGGTTCAGGTTCATCTCCAAGGCGATTAGCCAGTCCTGTCCCAGGATGAGTGCGAGAATCTATGGAGCCCATGCGACGGCGCGTGGTCTCGACATCTGAAGCATCAGAATCGCTTCCTGCAATAGAGGGATGGCCTGAATATGTACCACCACCATCTCGGCCAACATGCAAGTGGGTGGCTTTGATGTGGCGTATGCGGTCCTCTGCCGTGATGAAGGAGGGCGTGCCGTCAGGAGAAGAGACAGTCCCGTCAATGGCTCGCGCCAAGTCAATGTGGACCTTCTTTTTCTTTTCTCTTGGAATTTCCTTTGACGATTCCTCGCCGTCTGCATCACCTTCATCGGAGCCATTCGTCGATTTATGTCGCTGCAGTCTCCTTATGGCGAGATTTGTGCCACTACTGCCAGGGGTGGTTTTATCAACTTGCTGTGGCAGGTTCTCTGGCGCTCGGTGGCTCTCGTAATGAGCGGCATGATTACAGCCATTGGGACAGCCTCCCCAGCGGCGTGTTACAACAAAGCTCTTTGTCTGCGCCAACTTGACGTCGTCCTTGGTACCTTTGTCAGCTTTGTCGGTCTTGTCGGCCTTGTCGGCCTTGCCTTCTGCATCCTTCTCCTTCTCCTTGAGTTGTTGTTCCTCGCGTTCTCTTCGCAGTTCTGACCAGGTACGCAAATTGTTTTCCAAGAGATACTTGCTATTGTCTTGTTTGCGCATAATGAGGAATTCGCAGTGATTCACGTTTCGAAGGTCTTCGAAATACTCAACCGAGAAATGGTACCACTTCATGAGGAAAACACGGGACATGAGGCCATGAGTGACTAAATCATCGAGTTAATACCACGATTATGCGTTAGAAAAAAAAAGTCCCAAATTTGGATGCACAATCAAAGAATCAGAACTTACCCAAGACGCATACGCTGGCAAAGTCATCTTCTCCAAACTGACGCCACAAGCTCTCGTTGAAGCCACTAACACGGTCGTAGGCATCTGCAGCGCTCTCTCCGTTGGGTATACGATAGAAGAAATGGCCATAGTCGGCCCTCTCTTGCCACATGCGCTCCATTTCAGCACTACATGGCTGGAAATTTCCAAAATCTTGCTCTCGCAAACGGGGCTCCTCGTAGACTTTGATGCTGGACCGACGGTACGGCGAGGGCTCGGGGTCGTCCGACGTCAAGGTGGACAAGATGCCCTCGGTGGTCTCTCGTGTGCGACGATATGGCGACGTGAAGAAGTGGAGGGTGTCGTCTGGCCGGAGCAGCTTGCGCAGGCGGCGGCCCGCTTCATGGGCCTGGGCCCAGCCATCCTGCGTGAGCTTCACACGGTGATCAGGGATTGTCTGGTGTATATCGCGGTTCTCTAGCACGGGCGGTCAGGTCAGCAGGAGGGGAGAGATTTGGACTGAAGCAGAAGACGACGCACTGTTGCCCTCGGACTGAGCATGGCGGATGAGGATGATCAATCGCGGCTTGGCCATGGTGGTAGCTCTGCGCACGTGCGGCTTAATTTGCTGAGGCTCGAGATGGGAAATCAATCGATCGATCGATCAAGCGGAATAAGCAGATACTAATAGGCTGCCGGTCCGGTGGTGGGGGCCGCTGGTGTGTTTGGCAGGCTTGCTGGTGGGACGATATTTTGGTCGCTGTTGCGTTTCAACTGCCGGAGCCAAAACACCCCCCTGCCCCGAAATCGGGCGGCTCAGAGAGACAGAGAGATGAAAGGATGAAGACGGAGGGGAGTCGAGATGGTAGACGACCGTGAGCTCGGTGAGCCGTGAATGATAAGGAAAACTAGAGATGAAAAAACAGCAGGAAATAATATCGATGGGGGTGGTGGAAGGTTGTAAGTTGGGAAGGTTACGTTGGAAGTGCTACGGTAGGTTTAAGGTGCAATGTGGCGGCTTATAATGGGTATAAGGATACACGTAGCGATCTATGGGACATACAGGTACTCGTCCGACAGTGATTCATCAACTCTACAGAAGTACAACTTTAAGCACAGGGCTAGTAGCAAAGCCTGCTGAACATGTGCCAGTAAAGCACCAGACCCGACCTGAGTTTGCCTCACAGTGGAGAGAAGATAACTACATGTAGCGAGAGTCGCCTAACTGGGCTCCTTGAAACCATCATCGGGACTCGGGACGATAGAATCAAAATGGCTGATTAGAAAGCAACAACGCTGGCAAACATGTTGGAAGAGCAAAGAGCGTGTGGCGCAGCCTGAGCAATTCCGCCACTGTAAGTAGCCTCTGCTTGACTTTAGCCTGCCAGAACATGTTAAATGGAAGTTTCGGGGCCTTTCAAGATGACATACAATCGCTAAAGTCGCGCTCCATGCTGATTGGCGATGAACTCTTCCGAAGAAAGACGCCTCTAGTCAGTAGAGGGGACTCTTTTCTCTCGACTTGTATTTGTCACCACTTCAATCCCGTTCAGGCAACGCACAATCGCCCAGATCTCGGCTTATGGCATCGCATCTAAGCAGTCAGTCAATGCTACTGTAAAATGGCCCGGCGCTGCCCCTCCAGTCCCCGATTCAAGGCTTCCCGTGCTGCTGCTGCACTTGGTTTAGTGCCCTGTTGGCGGCGGCTGCAGCCTGCTAAGGCTTATGCGGTTTGGCACTGAGCGCTGCAGAATAATTTTTGGCAGCCGTGCAGCCTCAAACGTGATGACTCTGTAAAGCTCCAACGTTCAAGGGCAAACTCGGCATCAGCTCTACGGCCTGCAGTGCCAATTCATTCTGCGGCTCTGTGCATCCATTTCTGCATTATCTTACATTGAGCGAGATACTTTTCTTTGTTCATTCCATTCTCTCTCTCTCTCGTTCCTCTATCTCATCCGTTGCATATCGCGTCGCAATCACATTCGACGTCCACCCAGGACTCAACTCAACTACACCACGAACCACAGCCAGCAGTCCCAATCACTCAATCCATTGACTACTCCCATCCACCATGTCTGCCGAAGGCCCCGAATCAATCCCCACCTCCGCCGACCCTCGCTCCAAGCGCCCGACCAAGAAACGCGCCCTCACCCCGGGCTCTGCCCAAGCCGCCTCCCTCGACGCCCTCTTCGCCAAACCAGACCAGGAGATCCGCGTCCCTCCGCCAGTGTCCTCCCTCGAAGGAGGCAGGCGGCGGCCCCCGCCCCCGGAGATTGTAAGCAACGTCCAGGGCTCCAGCGCCGGTGCCGGCTCCGGCGAGTTCCATGTCTACAAGGCGGCCAGGAGGCGAGAGTATGAGCGCCTGAGGGAGATGGATGAGGAGGTCAAGAGGGAGCGCGACCAGGTCGAATTTGAAAAGGGCAAGACCGAGAAGGATCGCAAGGACGAGGAGAGGACGAGGAAGAACCGCGAAAAGAGGGACAAGGCGAAAGCTCGGAAGGCGAAGAAGGGCAAGGGGGGCGGAGGGAATGATGATAACGCAAAGGATACGGATGGCAACGGCGACAAGACGTCAGCGGTGGCTACGTCAAATGGAGGTTCTCAAGGAAAGGAAAAATTGAGCAAAGATGAAAACGGAACAGAAAGAAATGACAATGAGAAACCAGCCTCAGAACCTGTTGGACTTGTCATCCACGACGACGACTGAAAATGAAGAGCACGGGAAAGCAAATTAAAGATTTCCCCGACAGTTCTTTTCAGTCAGAGGTGGTGACTTGTAATAATATACTAGATAGGCAGTGATACCCGTATAGAGTGCCATTTCATAGATCTATGCGTCGCCTTTTCTTTTTCAGCGGCCTTTAGTTAATACCATTGTCTATTTTTAAGATATAATTTTGGTCCCTTCTTATTTCGTCTGAAAATGCTCCCACGTCTATCCCAACCAAGGGCTAGAACAGGATACGACCTATACAAGCAAATCCAGCGTGCCGTCCGCCCAGATCAAGGGTTTTAGGACATTATCTGCCCCTCTTCCACTCCTATACACATCTCCAGCTCGTTTATTCCTCACCTTGTCCGACTCCGGGAGCGGCACCCTGCTGCAGCGTCTTGGCACTGCAGATATCGTCTACTCTTAGCAATAAACAAGCGGCCTAAGAATCACACAAAAGTCAGTACGAATTGCACTATTTTTGACGAAATAGGGGGAATGGTTAGCGGGGTCAAGTGGACATCATGGAAGCATACCTCGATAGCAGTCTTTAGACTCTGCAGCTTAATGGCCTCAGGCTCCCATACGCCATACTCGTTCATGTCCGCAATGGCACCGGTATCGCCGTTGACACCATATGAGCTCTTGCCCTCGGCTTGCTTGGCGCGGAGCTCGGTCAACACACGGACGGGGGACTTGCCGGCGTTCTGCACCAGCGTCCTGGGAATCACCTCTAGTGCGTCAGCAACAGCCTTGTACGGCCACTGCGCGACTCCCTCTACGCCCTTGGCCTTCTGAGCCAGTCGGACAGAGACGGCCATCTCGGTTGCGCCACCGCCAGGTGATAACCGAGGGTGAAACATGACATTTCGGGCAACGCCCATGGCATCCTGGAGATTTCGCTCAATCTCGTTGAGGACATCCTTTGAGGGGCCACGAAGCAGGATTGTGCAGGCCTTGGGGTCCTCGCACTTGGTGAGGAAAGTGAAATACTCGTCACCAATCTTCTCAATCTCAAACAGACCACATCGAGTGCCGACATCTGCCTCCTGAAGGTCCTCTATTCTGTTGACAATGGTGGCACCCGTAGCGCGGGCTATTCTGTTGTTGTCTGTCTTACGGACTCGGCGAAGGGCTGTGATGTTGGCCTTCATTAGGTAGTGCTGGGCCAGATCTGAAGGAATGGTTAGCTTAGGGTAGATCTTTGGATGGCTGGGAGTCATTTGTCGAGTCACTCACCAGAAACACCCTTTTCGGTGATGACCAAGTCGGGCTTGACAGCCAAGATAGCATCGCACATAATCTTGATCTGCTCCTCCTCAATCTGCAAAATTCGGTTCCAGTCTTCCTCCTTTGAAATTTCAATGTTTGTCTGTGATTCACCCTTCTTGTACTCCAGAGGGCAGTCCAGAAGAACAATTCGGGGGTTCTCGATGCGTCGGCGCATCTTGGGGTGCGTGATGTCCTTGTTGAGCATGAGTCCGTCCAGAACCTTGCTGTCCTCAATCTCACCACCGGGAACTTTCTCAACACGCGCATATCGCTTAATGTCTACCTCGGTCTTGCCATTGCCAGCTTCCCATGTAACAGTTCGCACGGCCTTCAGAGCAAGGGAGCACATCTGGTCCATCCATCGGGAGACAAACTTGGTACCGATCGAGGAGGAGATGAGTTTGGCCATGGCATCGTCGTCGTTGACATCGATCGGCAGGGAGATCTCGTCGATGATATCGATGGCATCCTTCAGCGCACGCTTGAAAGCAGAAATGATTACCACGGGGTGGATGTTGCGCTCGAGTTGAGGAAGAGCCTGGGCCAGGATTTCACCAGCTATGTCAAGTCAGCATCAGATCTTTTGTCGCTTTGGCTTGCCCCTCCTTTTCTTCTCCCCTCCTTCTGCCTCCCCCTTTTTATCTTCCCCCGTATATCTGCTGGGCCACTGTCTGCGGGAAGTGGAAAAAGCCGAACATACCTAGAATAATAACAGTGGTTGTACCATCGCCGACTTCTTCGTCCTGTGTCCGGCTGAGCTCGATCATGCTCTTGGCGGCGGGGTGGGAAACTTCGATTTCTCGGAGGATGGCGTGGCCGTCGTTGGTCAGGACGATACCGCCCATGGGGTCGAGCAGCATCTTCAGCATGGCCTTGGGACCGAGACATGATCGAATGATATCGGCAACGCTAGATTGGAAGCATCGAGTCAGTTGGGCTGCACGGACTGATGGAGTAGAAAGGAGCAAAAGCGTACGTCTTGGCGGCAGCAATGTTGGACATCTGAGCTCTCCTTCCAGTCTGCCTCTCACCACTATTGGTGTCTACGAGACAATACGTTAGCTTGCAAACACTTTCCCCAGCTGCAAGATGCCGAGGGCCACCCCGATTCGCCTGCTGGGACGAATCCAGCGATGCTGTTCTGGCAGATTGGCAAGGTAGATGTCAGGTATACACACTCATAACCAACACAGGGGCCTGCATGGTGGGCTTTGTTTCTGTCTGCGGGCGGATAAAACGGGGATTTGGTGGTAGGACGCGAAGATGGCACCTCAAGGGAGCTTTGGGTCAGATTCGGCACGCCTCCAACAGCTGCTTTTCGGAGTCAGGGGACCGGCAGAGGCTCAAGGCAGCTTTTGAGGTTGTGGAAGCGGTGGTTTGGAGGGGCGCACACTAGAAAAGTTCCCACGACGCCTGGCGGCCTTTGGTGGGGAGGCTGCAGTGCTGTAAGCTCCAAGCCAAAAGGATCTGGTGCAATGTTAACCCGGCCCGCCAAGGGGTAGCAAGTAGCGGTACTTGGACTTGCCCCACGTTGGACGTTATGCTGGTGCCTACATCAATACCAATCTTGTATGCATTTATGAACAAGATACATAATAGGCAGAGATGAGAAGAATAAAGAAATACCTTGCAAGTCTGCTATTGTAGATGTAAGTAGAGGACAGATATATAAAGTGGCAACGCGCAATGGTAGACATACAGACGGCAATCACTCGTTACCCCCCTTTCAAGTAACGGTACTTTTAGCCTCTCCCAAGTTCCTAACTGGACATTTGTCATCGGGGTCGTGAGCCTACAAGCCAATCAAAAGGCTGTACCAGCACTTCCTTTGCCCAACCAGGCATATATGACTTCGTGTATAGAAGTACCTAATGAACCTGCTCCATGATTGAAAGAAGCTGATGAACTACGCTTCACAGAAAATCACTCGGCGAGCACCGCCTAGTACGGCTTCTAAACACCAACATCAATGCCACAAGGAGACGGGAGTCCACGTCCACGGCGAGAGGGCAAATTGTCTTCTTTCAACTGGAAGAACTGCACCAACATATCAGTTAGAGTAGACGACTTGCCGCCTAATATACATGTACCTTCCGAAGATTAACTTTCATGGTTCTCTAACCATCAGAACTTTCTGCAATATTACCTTAGGCACCGCCGGCAAAAGTTAAACCCCAGCGTCTACTATTATTAAGTCAAAATCTATGCCTAGTACTGCGTTCTAGGAAACTGGTCTAATTGTAGTATAGTATTCTGATACTGCAAAGAACCCCAAATGACTTAAACTCCAGCTCTCTGCTAAATCTCGCTAAGAGAGATGGTTTAAAAGTCGGAAGTATCCCGACGTGCAATATTCTATACAACTTACAGCCAACTCAACTCGTTGGGTTTGGATATATAATCGGCCCAACTGCGATCAATATCTGGAGCAGTTCAATTTACATCCAAAGAGACTGTATGTCAATCCTTCGGCGTGTCTATTCAGAATCCTAATTTTGTTCTACATAAGATACGAAAATGGCTCCTGGTTGAAGTCATCATCCCTGTTCCGACACAAGACCTCCAAGTTCAACAGATGACTGCTTTCTGCCAGTCAAGATGGACACTTACTGGACGCGAAGATTGCACTCGCATAAATGAAACAGAAATCATCCTTCTGTACTTGATATGAATTTACAACCCTGCCCACAGGCAACCTGCAATCCACTAATCTATCTACAAAAGCTGTGAAATGAACATATATCACAATTCACTGAGTGACTACAAGGTTCTCAACAAGCGGACACCTTATTGCCACCCGATTAACAAACAAAAACGACCATCCATCCTCAAGGGGCCCGGCCAGCCGACTCGCAATAAATAGTGTGGACAGCACACTCTAAGGCATCTCAGCCGTCTCAGGCATGCTGTGATAGGAGAAGACTAGGATGTGAAGAATCTTCCCTGAGTCCCTTACTCCGGACTATTGAGCTGTGGAATCACGCAGGCCGACTTCTTGGACCACTAGCCCAGCCTCTTTTGTAGTAGCTCTCTTACGAGCTTGGCGTTTGACTTGTGCTTGGAGATATCATGACAAATGTTGAGGATGTCTGTTGTTTTGTCGCAAAAAAGTTCTTCCTAATAGGGTCCCTTTGGATTATATTTTATTCAGGCAGGGATTTGCGGATCCAATGTCGACCTATATTCTACCTTTCTGGTTGTCAATGTCGGAAACTGCCAAAGGCAAGTTACCGCCGACTTTTCCGTTCCCGATGGCCTTGAATGTCAAGAGATTTTGGAGTTGTCTATCCCGGTGTTCTTTTAAGTCGGTTACCTTTTTTATTTATTTCTTGCTTGTCTTCGGGTCTTGGGTCGCCCATGTCTCTCCATTGTCGTCTAAAAGACGTCCATCTTGACAACCACTTGGTTGCAAGCCTTGGGAGATGACACTGCACCTGCGAGGAAGTTGCAGAACAACGACGGCGGCGGCCTCGAAATTCGGGAGGAATTGAGTTTGGTGGATGAGGCCACGAGTTTCCAAGGGAAGTATGGTGCAGATGGCACCGATGCTGGCGAAGGTCTCCTCTCCCTGATGAGTTTGGGTATTACGTCTAAAGATGAGATTCGTGAATTAATAGCATAGTTTTGTTCCGTGCGCTTTGCTATGTCGTCGATGATGTTCGTATTTTAAAAACAACACGAAATGTCGTATCAATCACGATCTACAGAGCGTAAGTGAGCAGAAAATAAAAGAAGAGAGCCCCATTTCCCCCTTTCTCACCAATCTAGTATATTCAGCTCCTTCTCATCTTCTCTTTGCCTCATATTGCTTTCTCCGTCTCTCAATATAAGGACAAGAGCAGGGAATTTCACTACATGTAGGTGCTACTGCTGCTAAATCTTAATATACATGTATTTACTTACTATTTGTAGAGCTGCTCATAAGCATGTCTTTACCACTAACCCCTCTACTAGGTTAATCTTGCTTATAGTTCGTCGAAATAGGTTTTTATCTCAGCGCCCATGCCATCATCACTTGGGAAAACGCTCCATCTATATGGTTGGTGGTGCAAGGCCATGCGCACATCTACCGCTAGAGCAGTATGTACTCTGGACGAGCTCGAGAATACGTCGAATGAGTGCCTAATCGCAATCAACGGAAGAGCGAGAGGCAATGAAATGGCTAATTGAGATAATTAAGTATGTAGATTCTCAGCAGGCCACCTGTCGCCTTGTCTCTACTGATCTGGCTTAAATGCTGGCAGGAGCCGATCTACATGTACTCTGTGCTGAACTTTGACCTCCCTATACGCACTTCTCCCCTTAAACCCAGTTCTAGTCCAGCCGCTTCGGCCAATTATAAGTAGCAGCAAGAGGATCATGTTAATGTAACTCTATAGCGAGCTGAGTCGTAGTTTTTATGGTTTATTGCTTTACCTATTAGTTGTCTCTCCATTTACAGAAACCAAGCGACTTGAAACTTGGCGTGAAGTAGGTACCTGTCAGCAGTTAATACTATTTGGCTTTGAGTCACCGCCAGACATATCTGAGACAAGTACCTTGATGGTGAGCACTAGTACCAGGAACACAGGCTGCCGGAAACAGAGATGAGTGTGCCCCTGACAACGATGCCCCGCCCTTAACAGCCAGCAGTGTTATTTGAGTGATTATCTGTTAGCCGAAAAGGAGCGTGGGGTAGCAGATAGCGAGCCGGTTAGGCTTGGCCTTCCCCGGAGCTTATATCCTAGGAAGAGGTTGGGCGCTGCTTGAGGAGGCTGGTGGCGGCATTACGTACCTAGGTAGGCGACCGTCCCTCCTCGTACGGGCACCCTTTTAAACCCAACGCCGCGTCTCCTTCACCTCCATCCATCCCCCAATCATTCATCGTCATCCCCTATTCCATCTCCAGCATATTCTTTATCATCACCCGCATCAAGACTCTGATTCTACCAGAACACAGGCTTCAGCAAAATGCGGTTGTCTACTTCCGCCCTCGTGCTGGGCGCTGCCTCGTCGGCCATGGCGCTGCAGGACCAAAAGGTCCTCGGCGACCCTACGTCCGAGCCAAAGGTCAACTTTGGCCTCGACACCGACTTCAAGTCCTGGGCCGCGTCCCTGAAGGACTCCTTTGGCGAGCTCACTGCCGATGCCAAGGCCCTCTGGGATGAGATCTCGCTGCTTGCCCCGGATGCCATGGAGGCCTTCCAGGCCGAGGTCAAGGGCGTCAAGGCCAAGAAGCACTCCCGCAAGGACGACAGCCACTGGGACCATGTCGTCAAGGGTGCCGATATCCAGAAGCTGTGGGTAGAGAGCGAGTCTGGAGAGTCTCGCCGACTGCTGAGCGGCAAGCTGTCCAACTACAACCTGCGAGCCAAGAACATCGACCCACGCAAGCTCGGTGTCGACAAGGTAAAGCAGTTCAGTGGATACCTTGATGACGACGAGAAGGACAAGCATCTGTTCTACTGTAAGTACTCCCTGACATACCCGATGCTTTATGCAGTCCAACGGGCTAACCAGGCTTTGTTCCGTAGGGTTCTTCGAGTCCCGTAACGACCCCAAGAACGACCCCGTCATCCTGTGGCTCAATGGTGGCCCAGGATGCTCTTCGCTCACCGGTCTTTTCTTTGAGCTGGGACCGGCTTCTATCAACGAGAAGATTGAGATTGTAAACAACCCACACGCATGGAACAACAATGCTTCCGTCATCTTCTTGGACCAGCCGGTCAACGTCGGCTACTCCTACGGCAGTGGCTCCGTTAGCGACACTGTCGCTGCTGGCAAGGACGTTTACGCCCTTCTCACACTCTTTTTCCACCAGTTCCCCGAGTATTCTACTCAGGACTTCCACATTGCTGGAGAGTCATACGGTGGACACTACGTTCCCACCTTTGCGGCAGAGATCCTCAAGCACGAGGACCGCAACATCAACCTCAAGAGCATTGCTGTCGGCAATGGCTTGACTGATGAGTTCACTCAGTACGCATACTACCGACCCATGGCCTGTGGTGAGGGTGGCTACGATGCCGTTCTGAGCGAGAGCCAATGTAACGCTATGGACAATGCCCTCCCCCGCTGCCAGAGCCTTATCAAGCAGTGCTATGACTCCGAGAGCGCGTGGCTCTGTGTGCCCGCCTCCATCTACTGTAACAATGCCTTCATTGGACCGTACCAGCAGACTGGCTACAACCCATATGACATTCGCTCCAAGTGCGAGGACTCTGGCAACCTGTGCTACAAGGGCCTGGGCTACATCACCGAGTACCTGAACAAGCCCGATGTCATGGAGGCTCTTGGTGCTGAGGTCTCATCCTACGACAGCTGCAATTTCGACATTAACCGCAACTTTTTGATGCACGGTGACTGGATGAAGCCCATCTACCGCCTCATCCCTTCGATTTTGGAAAAGATTCCTGTGCTCATCTACGCTGGTGACGCCGACTTCATCTGCAACTGGCTCGGCAACAAGGCCTGGACCCAGGCGCTTGAGTGGAAGCACGGCGATGACTTCCGCGCCACAAAGGAGAAGGATCTTACCGTTGGCGGCAGGTCATACGGCAACGTCATCTCCTCGCACAACTTGACCTGGATCCAGGTCTACGGTGCCGGCCACATGACACCGACAGATGAGCCTGAGGGCAGCATCAACTTTGTCAACCGCTGGATCGCTGGCGAGTGGGTTGCTAAATAAATTGCAAATTGAGGTTATGATATCCAATGGGTTAACTGGTTAGCGTTAATCAGGCGATGGATGATGAAGTATGGATGCCAGGTTGCATGTTTATATTTAGTATCGTTAGCACCCAGAACAAATGACTGGTTATATGACAATGAGTATTGGTTAATTGAAGGTTTTGAGATTGCATGATGTGAACGTTGCTCTGTTGTGATGTCAATGATGCTTATGCCATTTGTAATTGTTGGGTGATAGCGAGACTCCCTTTCAACGGGTCATTTCAACATGCCATTTGTTCGTTCTTCATCTCAAGGTGTTTGCTATTCAATACAATATATCCAAGTATCACAAGCCAAAACATGCAAGCACATGCTCAAGCTCAAGCTCAAGCTCAAGCTCAAGAGACATTTGCAAGCCTCGGAGCAAATAGGGCAATGGAAAGGAGATAGTCCGAGGCTACGGTTCGGTATGGGATGGACCCCTGGAATAATTCATTTCCGCAGATAAGTGCCAATACGGAGGTGGTATCTCGTACTTTGGGCCGCGTGTTCGGAGATATGGGCTACTCACTTTTTTTGCGATGCAAATCTGTAGTCGGGGTTTGTTTACTGGCTTAGTGATACAGAGAGGTGAGGGAGGTGGAATAGATGCCTAGTGGTGGGATTTCTACTCTTCCTTTTGGAGATTGTGGCAAATTCTTTGTATGTAGGTACATACGTAGAGCTTGATCCTTGGCTCATTGGGGATTTTGCCCCCCCTCGAGAGGTATCAGTGAGCGACGATCGGAACTTTTTTTTCATCTTGTTAACGGGAAATACGCATATGGAGGATTTTGGTGCTTCACGGCATGCCTCAGAAAGAATCGGGAATTTCCGCTACCAAGCGCCACGATATCAATGTATTTCAAGCAATTACGGAGCGTGTAAGTCGTCTTGGCGTGGAGCCGCCGGGAGCTTGTTTCTACGGGGGAGCGAACTGAAGCGAATTTCGGCAACGGCTTGTTTGAAAAATACAACCAAAAATCAAGAGTATATCCCCTGGCGATGAAGTATTGATCCACTGACACATGCTCTTTTATCATGAAGCTCGGCAATTGATAAACAAATTGTTGCGGGGAAGGGGGGCAAAGGGGGGGAACCAAAGCACAGATGAAGATACAATATACCTACAGGTAGGTATGCAACATTTTAGGTGTGTTGGTGGGTGCTGTGATGTGACGCTAAGGCTGCTCTTTCCTCCCCAACAAAAAAAATCTGGAAGTTTTTGGCTACGGATAGGGCGAGCTGAACTTGGGCGATTCTCCGCATTTTTATTTTTTTTAGGAACTGCAACACACCATCAGTCGGATAGAGTAGGAGCTAACTTTTTTGCATTGGTGCGGCGGCTGGCCGGATGAAATCTTCAAGAGTTGACACGGGAGCGATTGCTGTGGTGGTGTGGGAGATTGATACTTTTAGCGGCTAGGTTAAATTGCTAAGGCGTAGCCTTTCATGTTCAAGAGCAACCAATATGAAATAGTATGGAAATCTTGAGTTTTGCAGGCTTGTAGGCGTTCTGTGTGCAAACATGATTCAAGAGTATTCTCCGCGACTATGGAGCGTGAATCGGCATGTGGGAGAAGCAATAGTGATGCATTGTGCCGCTCTCCGAGTGATTTTGTCGGCTTTTTGAATATCCAAATCTACTTATTTCCGGCTGTCCGATGCCAAAAGTCTAGGGGGGTGACACCTAACGCATGTTTACTTGTAGATGGCATCAAACAAAAATCACAATACGTAGCATTACTGCGGCAATTGGTGCTGCTCAAGCCATTTCGGCTTAGAGCCAAGGTTGGGCTATGGGGCAAGGGGATGTGGTGCCAAGCAGCTCGGCATGTACAAGTCAGCCAATCGCTATGCCTGAGAAAGCATCTGAAGAGATTGGTTGATAGAAACTGGTCAGAAAGAAGAATAACAGGCCGCGGTACGTGTACGTAGCAGGCATCGCGGCGTATAATGCGCTCTTATTGCCGTATCGTTGACGCTTTTTACCGCTCGATCCGGCCCGGCTGGCACGACCCCCGTGATGCCATGATGTGATGCTGCATGGGTCGTTTAAAGCGCAATCGTGGGGAGAAGCGAATGCGAGAGGATGGAGAAGGACAGGGAGGAAGCCGAGGAGGAAAGGAGGCCATAGAGTTGACAATTGAACCTTGTGGTATAGTGTGGTATTTATTAGTATACAAGCAGTGGCAGTATATACTTGTACAAGTAGGTTATATGTACGTAGGAGGAGCCTGGAGGAGCTTTCAGGATCGATGAGGCTCATTTCTTCAGCGTCAGCTCAGCTCGGTTCAGCTGCCTATCCAAAGCGGCCTCAGACCCTGGATTGGCAACCAGCTGGGCGCTATGAAATCGATCGACCTGCTGCTCCGCGGGTTCCGAACAGGCGGCAGGGGACGAGGCCCGCTTCAATCATCGCCAGCATGGGTGAAGGGCTGGATGGTGCTCCGGAATAGCCTTTTTGGAGTCTCCATAGCAAGTCTATGTGCCGGAGAGGGCGGCAGATTGATACCGCAGCTGGTATCTTGTCGCTGCCGTCGCCAGCCCGCCGCTACGGACGAGGCTATCAGCCCTTGGCTTGCCCGGCAGCCGTGGTCAGAATTCAAAACCACAGGGGACCGGCAGGTGCTGGCCTAGAAGTGATGCGGAATAGCTTCTGGCGCTGTTATGACATCGATATTAGCTGTTTCTGGGCGGCAGCTGGCCGAGGTAGACGGTACTGGCAGTCTCTGCGCAGAGATGTCAACATGGCCGGTAGCCAGTACGGGTGCCATTGCTTGAATGAAGCTGTAGCGAACAAGCTCTTAAACATCGATCCGTCCGCCTCCCTCGAGCTTGTCTGGCACTCATCGAAAGCTCTTATCTCTCGCCCTCTCCCTCCATACACGAACCAATTCCTCCCGCATAGACTCAGCGGCCGGGAATTCTTAATATTTAATTCATAATAATCTTACAATAACTGAACTGCTTCAACCGCGACGCGCCCGCATACGTACAAGCACAGATCCAGAAAGACTGCGTTGTGCTCTCGAAAGCTTAAACACGCTTTGCAGGGAAAGCAAAGAAACGAGCCAGAAGCTACTTCTCCAGGACCGGCACAGCCAATCACAGACATTGATCATCTACGACCAGCTGCATTCGGAAGAACCCCGTTGAATTGTTTTTTTCTCCTCTTCAACTCGCCTTCTCGCTTGCACCGACAAGAGCTTTGGTCAAACTCGATCCGTTGACCCGCTCCTTGTTGTCCCCAACAAAAGTCAACCCGCGTATTTTCCCCCTCCCTTGGAGAAAAAAAAAAGAGCCTCGGCGGCGAAAGCGGGTACTATCGCCCTCTTTTTTTTTTCTTCCAACTGATATTCTAATATCTTTGTAACACGGAGAAACTCGTCTTTTTCTTTTCTTCCTTTGTTTACTTTGATATTTCTGTTTGGTGCGACTTGCATTGAATCAGATCAAGAGACGCTCTTCGTTGCTGCTGCTTTAATCGCCAAGTGGGCAGCGCTAGCAACAGCTTGCATTACAATCAATTGCTGCTTGCAGTGTTTGCGTTAGCGTGAGCGAGACTCTGGTTGGCTGCAGACTTACACCCGTTCTTGCATTTCAACGAGCCTCACTTTTTCTCCATTTTGACTTCTTTTTCTTCTTTTTTTCATACCATCAAGCATTATACACACATTCATACGAATTCATTTTCGATCTTCAGCATGTCGAACCTTCAGGTCCTGGGCTCAATGCCCGATGCGAGTCTCTTCAACTTCCCTCCAGCCAACCCTCCGGCACCGATACCACCGGCGCATGTTCCCACCTCGATTCTGAGGCCGTTCAACATTCCCGCCCATCTCTACGGAGCTGCTCTGGATGCCCGAGTTCCATTGACCATCGCCGCCGTCTATGCCATCTCGGCCAAGCTGCTCAACAAGTACAACAAGGCCCGCAACAAGAAGCCCTGGGGCATCAGCAAGACACGCCCCTTCTTCGCCTTTGTCGTGCTGCACAACATCCTCCTCGCCGTCTACTCGGCCTGGACCTTCTGGGGCATGGTGGGCGTCATGCAGAGGAGTATCAACCACCCCTTTGGCCCTGGCGGCGTTGCTGCTACGGCGGAGAGCTTCTGCCGCTTACACGGGCCTCGAGGCCTGGGCAACTCCATGTACTACAACGATACCACTGGAGGCTGGGATACCGCCTCGCAGAGCACCGCTGCGTACATGGCTGCTGGCAATGCTGTGCCCAACGGCCTTGAGCCCGGCCGCCTGTGGACCGAGGGCCTCGACTTCTACGGCTGGATCTTCTACCTGAGCAAGTTCTACGAGGTCCTCGATACCTTCATCATCCTGGCCAAGGGCAAGTACAGCTCGACTCTGCAGACCTACCACCACGCCGGAGCCATGATGTGCATGTGGGCTGGTATGCGCTACATGGCCAGCCCCATCTGGATCTTCTGCCTCTTCAACTCCTTTATCCACGCCTTGATGGTGAGTTTCACTTGTCTCTACAAGTTGTATATGATCTTGTTTGCTAACTAGTTGTTTCAGTACACTTACTACACTCTGTCGGCCTTTTCCATCAAGATCCCCAACGTCATGAAGCGCACCTTGACTAGCATGCAAATCACCCAGTTCGTTGTCGGAGCCACCTTCGCCATGGTTCACTCCTTCATCACATACGTTGCGCCCATCACCTCCACTCACATCGTGGCCGAAGACGCTCCCGCTACGAAGAGCGCTCCCATCGACTACATCATCCCCACCGCCATCAGTGCTCTGGATTCGCTTAAGAATCTCATCTTTGGTTCTGACAACGTCGCCCACAAAGCTGCTGCCGCCGCTTCTCCCAGCGCCCAGAAGATGACCACCGTCACCCAGACATCGCAGCTCGCGCAGCCTTGCATCGTCACCTCTGGTGAGACATTTGCCATCTGGCTCAACGTCCTCTACCTCGCTCCCCTGACCTACCTCTTTGTCAGCTTCTTCA